ATGGTGCCAACTTGGGCCAGTGAAGCAACGTCCTCCACAACTAGACTGAAGAACAAAACAACAGCAACTTGTCTGTTCCCCTTCCCCCAACTCCCCACCGCTGTTCCCATCTCCCCAATTCCCCAATAAAAATCTTAAAAAAAAGTATATAGTAAAATAAACAAGAGAATTTAAATTATTTTAAAAAAAAAAGAAAATTATACTCAAATGGATCAAAGACAGAAACATGAAAAATACTTGAAGGTAACATAAACAAGGTTGAAATAAAAATTGACAGACTAAAAGAGGATATTTGCAACACATATAAACTTGGATAGTATTCAGAATATATATTTTTAAGTATTACAAATCAGTAACGGCAAGCAGTCCAATAGAAAACTGGAGAGAAATATAAACATACAATTCACTTAAGATGAAATCTGAATGACCAAATACCCACATAAAAAAAATTCTCAGCCTCCCTAGTAATAAGGAAACTGCAAATATCTCTTCCTCTAAGACTGGGAAGAATTTTAAAGTCTACCATATAAAGGATTGGTAATAATGTGGAGAAATGGGCCCTCTCATAAACAGTTGCAACACATCTTAATTCTGATTAGCTAATTTCAAGAATAGTCACATATGGCTAATAGTTAACCTATCTGAACAATGCAGCTCTAGGAGGACTCACATGTGCAGGAAGACACAATGTTTCTAACAGCAAAAACCGTAAAACTCTAATATCCATTAGTTGAGGAATGAATAAATGAAATGTTATATATCATACAATGGTATACTATATAACAGTTAAAAAAATAGATGTAAATACAGTAAAACGTTGGACTACGAATAACTTGGTTTGCGAGTGTTCCGCAAGACAAGTAAGCATTTCTAATACATTTTAACTTGGTAAACGTATTGATGTCTTGCAATACGAGTAGTTTGTTTCCAGAACGAATTATGCTCGCAAACCAAGGTATTACTGTATACATAAACATGGAGAGCCCTAAAAAAATAACAGAGTGAAAGAATATGATAGGTGATACATAGAAAGTAGTACTTATGTTCATTAAAAAACAAAATTAAACAATACAATACCTAAGAGTTTGTGAAATACGTAATAATTTTCTTTCAACAGACTGGGAAAATAACACTGATAATTATGATAATAGTTGCTTCTGGGGAGGATGAAAGAATAATGCGTCTGAGAATAGAAGACATAGATAAGGTCAACTTATTTTTTTTTTTTTAGCTGAGCCATCTTGCCACCTGTTGGCAGCTCAGTGGTAACTCAGCTCGGGCTGGACTCGAACCGCTGTTGCTCAGAGCTCAGACTCTTGAGCGAGCTCTTAACCAACTGAGCCACTTGGCCGGCCCTGGTAAGGTCAACTTTTATCTGTATTATTTTATCTCTTTAAAAAATGAGGAATCAAATAATTATTATGTCAATAATCAATTCGGGGTGGTGGGTATACAGTGTTTATAATATTCTGTATTAAGTTTCACATAATAAAAATAATTCCTATTTTAAGTAAACAAGACGGCTGTAGATGGTGTAAATATTACCCTGTAACTTCCTGACGGATCCAAAATACAGTTGACTGGCATTCTAGTACTTTATGAACCCACAGGTCATCCTAGCCCTATTCATCCGATATTCCCAACAGGGAAGTGTAGGGGGCGTGAGCAGGGGCTGCAGGCTCGCAAGGTGTCGGGTCCGGATGTACAAATAACAGCTTGTTGCAAATGAATTACAATACTAAGCTATTAATTTGGGGTGAAGCACAGTGAATAAGGTGTATAGGAAGAGAGGATGGTAGGCGCTGGGGACGCAGGATGTGGCGTAGGAAAGAGTACCAAGATGTATGAAGTAGATCTGAAGACGTGGGAGGCTAAGAAGCAATTTGGGGGCCATAGAGGTCCCGCAAGGCTCTTGGGCTTCCAGCTTCTGGAGCCTAAACCGCGCGGCTACTTCCCAACGGTTCCTCGGAACACGCTGTTCTGTCCACTTTCTTGATGACCACCCCTCCCCTCTTTCGGCCACTACCTTCCTGATCAAGAATCCCCAACGCCCCTCACCCGCGACAATGAACCTCGATGAGCCACCGCAGCTTCAGCTCGTGGATCGCAAACCCATTCTCCCGCCAATTCGGTCATCTGAGGTCTGCCTCCTGACCCGGAGCACTACTCTTCCGCCTCCCGAGCACGGGATCATTCTGGGACCTCAAAAAGCCCCTGTTTTTGAAAAATGACTCCCACCGAGGCAAGAAGGGACGTACTGTGATCTGTAAAATACATTCATATGTTTTACATATATTTTATTCACCACAAATCTCCTGTCGAGAGAGTGGAATTAAAACTTCCGGGTCAGATTCAATGCATTCTGGGAAATGTAGTCCTTAGCCTCCACACCTCACTCCTTGAAGCCGAGTGAGGGAGCGTCGCGAAAGTTGACTGTTTAGGGACTCTTCTCTTTGGTTCTTCAAAGGGGAAAATGGGTGAAATATTTGCACTGAAAATAATACAAGCTGAAATTCTCATTTCCCAAGAAACCTCCCTTGCCGAAGCTTAGAAGTGCATGGGAACCGTCCCTCCTTGACCTTTAAGTGAGAAGCAGGTAGATGGTCTCTTAGTCCCAGTCAGGTCTCCGCCTATCTTGATGGCCCGCCCCCTCTGCCAGACCCTGCGCCGCCGATTGGCTAGAAGCACTTGAGCGGCGGAAGCAGCTGTCTTGAGCGGCGATGGGGGGAGGGGGAGAGCTGTGAAGATGGCGGCAGTCGTGGAGGTGGAGGTTGGAGGAGGTGCTGCCGGGGAACGGGAGCTGGATGAGGTAAGAGTTGAAAGCCAAGGAGAAAGTCAGCCTGAAATTGAAGGGAGGGGAAGGGAAGTATCTGGAGTGGGGGCAGGAGGGTCCTAGGAGAGACAGGATCCAGAGAGGGAAGGAGCCAAGTGGGGGGCGGGTGCGAGGAGAGGGATATCAGAGGCACCCTAAACTCGAGGACTCGGAGATGGTCACGGGGGTAGAAGATTTGCAGTAACCTCAAGGGTGGAGGTGAAGGACAGGGAGAGAAGCCAGAGGGGTCGGGATTAAGATTTGAGATTATTAGCTGGGTGCCCTAGGGTAAGACTAAAGGGCTGAGAAGGTAGCTTGAGTTGGAGGGGCGTGGACTTCTGCAAGGAAAGGTAGGGCTTTCACTGTGGGAAAAGGACTCAGGTTAGGTTTGGAGTGGGGGTTGGGGATGCGGGCCGGGAAGGCTGCTAATCTAGTATTATAGCTTTGAGTTATTTTTATGTAAGAGCTGTTTTATTTATCCCTACATTACTTTGTACATAATATATGCTGAGTAAAGTTTTGGTCAACGAATGAAAGAACGAATGGATGAATGAATAATTGTATACCGGAATTCATCCATTCACTCATTTAACAAACATTAAGTATCACCTTTGTGCCGAGTCTGGGCTAAATGCTAGATAGACAAGGGACTCTCCCACTGAAGAGCCCACAGTCTAGTGGTGGGAAACACACAAGAAGACTAGTCATTGCATTAAAGGTATAATGTAATGGTGGCACTGAGAAGAGGGGACCAATTCAGTTTAGGCTGGGGAAGGCTTCCCAGAGGAGCTGAGTCTTAAAGGATAAATGATTTTCTGTTTATCTCTCTCCTTCTAGACTTATTAAGAGTTATTTGAGGGTGAGCTTCTTGAGAGTGTATGCCCCTTTTACCTATCTAATAGGCATTTAACAACTGGTGTATTCAATTACCAATAGTGCTTGAAGGAATCACTAGGAGGGAGAAATTGAGTTTGAAGGGAATGACGAGACAATGAAGGCAGAGGCAGAGAGCAGGTGAAAAAGGAAAGGGAAAAAATTCTGAATCCAAAGGTACGTACATTCATAGCTAGGGGTGCTTATGGTGTTGCACATGACAGCATATGAACAACAGGGAGGAATCAGAGGAAGCAAATTGGTTATCGGGAATGGAACCAGTGGGATGTCTGAGGGATCAGAATCTTAGAGCCCTGGCTGTATGTTAGGGGGTAGGGTGGTTGGGGAGGATTGGGGATGAGGCCCAGAGAAAGGGAGTAGAAGTGGACTTGAAAACCAGACTGTTGCTTGGTGATGGGATGACTTGGAGGATTTGGTTTACCTAATTAGGATCATTAAGGTGGGGGGTGGAGACTGAGAAACTGACAGGCACTCTGAGCAGGGGGAAGTTTTTAAAGAAGAATTTGTAAACCCATACCTTCCAAACACTAGAGGTGTTTGGATACCACTTGGTTGGTGAGGTGGGGTGATTGTGGAAATGACCTCTAAGGCCCCTTTTGGTCTTAAGTTTCTGTGATTACAGTTGGCTGTGGTTCAGTGAGATGTATTTGAAAGCGCCTTGAAAAAAGGTAAATACTGTATTGAAGTTATTGTGTATGATTTATAAATCATGGGCTCTCTTCTTTGAGGGAGCCTGATTTTAGTTACATATACCAGGGTTCATTGAGATAAAGAGCAAAAGTTGTGGCAGAAGAGAAAAGAACTTATTTTTGATGTCAGACATTTAGCTTTTTAGCTTTTCCTCCCTAATTGTTTTAAGAATTTTAAAAGCTGAAGATAATATACTTCTGGAGTGTCATACCTGGAGGTCAACTTTATATGTAACCACAGGCATTCATCCCAGGAAACTTGTTACTTGTTTCATTTACTGAGAAAGACTATAATCTGTTGCATGGAAATTCTATATGGACTTGTTCTGTCCTTTTTGTGTGTTTAAGAAGTAACTCTGAGAAGCAGGAGCTGTCAGCCATCCCTTCAAACTGCAAAAAACAAACATCCCCTACCCCCCAAACAGGGGTCCAGTCTGGCAGACCTTAGGAGTTTCTACTAACGTCTACTTTAGTTTCTACTAAAGCTGTTTCTTAACTGCTGAAAGAGAAGGTGAAACCCATCCTTTAATTTGTAATTATGGCATCTGCTGTGTATTATGCACTGGAAATTCACAGATGGGTAAGACAGGGTTTTTACCAATTTGTAGTGAAGAGACATGCAAATAGTCCTTTAAATACTAGATAATTGCTATAAGGGAAGTATGTAACAAATTCAGTGGGGCACAAGAGTCAAGCCCTTACGTCGGCTAGGGGGAGTCAGTGAAGTCTGAAAAATTAAAGGTTGGGTTTACAAAGAAGAATGATTTGCATGGGGCATCAGAGTTGCCTTTCTGTAGCACTTCCTGCTTGGTAGAGACTACGTACTGTGGAGCCCAGATCATAAAAGGGTAATGGATAGCCTAGCTAGAATGCAGTTGGTGCTGTTTGCCACTTCTTTGGAAAGATAGCACGTGCTGTGGTTTGTTTTTCAGGGTGTTACACCTATGTTTTTCAATATCAGATGCCATTAGAATGATAAATAGTTTGGAACAATAGCCATCAGTTCATTCACTTTCCTTTCCTCTTTTGTCTTTTCCATTATCACTTTCTCTAGTAGTTGAGGTAATTTAGGCTTTGCTAATTGCTTCTCTTGTTTTGGAGAGGTGGATAGTAAAGAGGGCTTAGGAAAAGAGCTACCAGTAAAAAAGGCTGCTGTCCATTGAGCCTCTACCATAAACCAACCCGTTTAAAGCCTTTTACCTACATTATCTCATTCGTTAACTAATAGCAGCCCTGTGAGATGGTGTTAACCACATTTCATAAATGAGGAGACTGAAGCTAGAGAGGTTAAGTAACTTTCCTAGGATTCCACAGTTTGTGAGTGTGGAAGTGCAGGCCTGCCTATGCTATACTGAACTTAGCCCATGCTATGCTGAGCACCTTGGTTCCATTTCTTACTCCATTACTGTACTCTGCGAGTAGGTAATTTAAAACTGTATGGTCTTAATTATCTCATGTGAAAATTGATTCATTACACTTGATAAGTGATTGTGATTCAAAAGAGCATTTTGAGTCTCACATTTGTGAGATAATTTTTGTGCTATTCCCTATTTATGATCAAGGAAGTTGAGGTTCAGAATATTAGCATGCTGAGGGTCTTGCAACTACTAAGTGGTATCACTTAGATTTAAATCCATTTTTATAGATTCCAAAGTGTTTGTTTCCCCTCAGTTTAAAGACCTAAACTTCAGTTTACATCTTACCAAAGTAAACTACCCCTGTCTTTATATACAAAAGTCCCACCTCCAAAACATGAAGCAACATTTCATTCCTGAGAGGTTCAAAATGGGGACTACCTAAAGGAATATTGGGTTTTTTCATGCAGGTCCTTAGATTTACTGGTAATTTGATTCTGCTGAACCTCTGGTCATGAGGAGTGGTTAGCCCAGTGGTAGTTAGGGAAATGAGGGATGGCTCTAACCAGCTCAGGCCAGGTACTAAAACAGGCTCTGATGACTAATGAGCTCAGTTCTTTCTCTCTACTTGCCAAACCACAGGGTGCTGAGGATGTTAATAGTATAAAGTCTGGGTACCAGTTGGGAGGCCCAGAGCAGACCTACTCCTGGAGCCAGTGAGTTCCTCCTTAAAGGGGCAGCTGGCCAACCTCTAAGAGGAACTGGAGCATCATCTTGGCAGAGAGAGAGCTGGCTTGGGACCTAAGGCAGAAAAGCACTTCAACATCCAATCAGGGCCAGCCCATCCGCCTGGCCAGTGCCTGAGTTCTGGATGTGTTTACTCCCAGGGCTTGTTCCTTTGCCAAAAGGATGTGATATCATGCACATCAGTGAGTAGTTTCCAGCGCAAGTTCAAAACAGGTGTCCCAGCCTACAACTATTAGGTACTATTGCCTCAAGTGCGTAATTTACCTCTTCTGAGCTGTGTTTTATTCCTGTTAAAAGAGGAGATTGGACTAGATTGGTGGTTTTTAAACCTTTATTTAGTCATGAAACCCTTTATTCAAACAAAATCTCACTTGGAAGCCTTGTGGTCCTTGAAAGGACTCAAAGAACGCCTTGGGTGTCTCAAGCCATTCTTTGAAAATCAAGGAGCCTTCTCTTACTGCCCACTGATTGGGTAACCCTACTTTATCTGCTTCAGCCCCCTGTACTTCCCCGAGCCCAGCCCTACCAAGCATTATTTTAATTGTTGTCTGTTTTCCCCACTAGACTGTTAGCTACATGAGAAAGCAGAGTCCAAGTCCGTCTTGCTCAGTGTTGTAGTCCCTTCACTCAGCATAGTGCCCGGCATACTGCAGGCACCTAATGTTTGATAATTATTATTTTTGAGTAGTAGTAATTATAGCTACCATTTAGTGAATGTTTGTGATATGCCAGCTCCTCTGCTCAGTAGTACATGCTTTTTGATTGACTGTTTACCACATCCCTGAGAGAATTGAACTATTGGACTAAATCATGTCGAAAGCTCTTTCTGACTCTACCAGACTGTGTACCGTATTTCTGATTACTGCCAGGGTCCTTGTTGACGTTGTCCTGTTTATCTAGAATACCTTTCCTTTCCATTGTGCCTTTCTAAATCCCACCTGTACTTTTCTCTAGTTTCTAGAACTATTCTGATCTACACTGATAGCTTCTTTCCCTGCATTTTATGTTTTTCTCTGTGTTCATGTATTAATTTGTCACTTTTCTGACATACCTACTGTGTGCCAGGCACTGTGTGCTATGCCTAATATTACCAAGATGGATGAGGAGTTCACAGATTGGCATGAGGTAGATAAGTAAGAACAAAAATGTGTCACAGGTGCGATGATAGTGGAACAGGTACAGAGGGTACATCACAGAGAAAATGGCAATCCATGTCATATCTCCTCTTCCTAGCTAGATTAGTAAGCAGGCAGGCTGTAGAAGCTCCCATCCCTTGCTTCTTCAAAGTGGTAATCACTGTTTGATTTTTTGG